TTCTCTCTTAGATATCCTGTCTATGACAGGCATTTGCCCTTCTGAGAAAATTAAACAAAAATACAAAATAGGGTTACCAAAATCATGTAAAATTGATGTGGTTTGAGTGGTACCATGGCATATAAATATTTATTCATAAAATATTTTCCCAGGATGGATACATTGAGATTTCTCTCATTTTCAAGTATGTCCTGGGTTCACAAACCATTGCATTGTTACATTGTTACAATAGGATACAATATAAAAAAAAAAAATACAACATACAAACAATATATATATATATATATATATATATATATATATATATATACACACACACACACACACATATATAAATTTAACACATAACAGGTGATAAATATATTCAACCATGACAGGTGTATTCTGAATTAAGGTGTATTGCCATAGATCGCTTAAAAGATTTTAGATTGAATGAAGATTTGACTGTGTCCCTGAAGTTATTCCATAATTGCAGTGCTCTGTAGGGAAATGATGATTGAGCCACTTTATTTTTGTATTGCGGTATGCTAAATATCGTGCTAATACTGGATCGGAGGTTATAGGAGGTGGGAACAGCTGAGGAGAGCATTCTACTCAGGTAGGATGGGAGCTTCCCAGAAAAGCTCTTATGCACAAGGCTGGAAAGATGAAAAGTGCGTCAGGATTCTAGCAATAGCCAGTTTAGCTCTTTTAACATGTTACAATGGTGGGTAAAGTAATTACATTCTAGTACAAAGTGGCAGAACAAATTATATCACTTATTGAGTTTATTAAGTTGGGTTTACGATGCTGGTGCATACACAACATCCCCGTAATCAATGACCGGCATTAGCATTTGTTGCATATATATGGTAGGTATATCCTTAGATCAAACCATTTTAAGATTTCATAGGTAAATTAGGAAACGTATCTCTCCCAATGCAGAAATTGCTGACCTTAGAAATAGGGCCTTTTAAATTTCACCCATCAAATACTCCAATGATTCAAAATATTTTATTAAAACATTCTTATTGCTGCGTGCACATCAATTCCGAAGTATTGGAAGTCCTTTATCTTTTCTTTAGCAGAGGATGTACTATCTTTGATGGATCAAACTTAACATTATGATTTGGCAACAAGGGCATAACTATAATGTATGTTGTTGTATGGTTATGTGGTTTACGCCTTAAGTTTAATGCCTTATCATTTTACCTTTTTTTCCATTTAAGTTTGGTTCCTTATGTGACATTTCCAGTATTATGTTCTAGGTACTTGTTGTGATGTAATGATAAAGATAGAGGATAATGGATTTTAGGGCCTATGTTCACTGGTAATACTTGCATGAAAATATCAAATTTACTTCTTTCTTTTTCTTGTATCAATGGCTAAATAAAATCTTCAATACATTAAAAATAAATAAAAATTTATATATTAATGCATACCACTCTAAAAGTGTAGGTTAACAAAGATCAATGAGGTGAATTAAATTTTAAAAAGATTCTGCATTCTAAAGGGTGCTAGAGTAGTAACCATACAAGAAGTGCACATTAGACTTTGCTCATATAACTAGCTTTGTATTGACATTTTTAATGAGGAATAATTGAAGTGTCATTAAGAAAACCACCATTTACAGGGATGTTCGTGTGTTTACTGTACAAATATACATACCTCTGTTTCTGTGATATTGCACTATTCTTCTCTACCAAGTCAGGAAATACTCTAATCAGTTTTTTTTTTGTATTTGGTTTTCAGCTGTAAACATTGATTTAGCCTATAAGCTTGTCCCCTTTCCTATTCATTGGAATATATATATTTTTTTTTTACAAAAAAGAGCAATGCAAGCAATTGCAGCTGTAACTGCCGTTACCCCTTCCCTTCTGATGAATATGTTTCATTAATAACCTGATGACATTTAAGTAAATTTGATATAGAAATAACGTAGGGGAGACATTGTAAAGTTAAGAACCCTGATAAAACACGTGGGGAAAAAAAGATTCTGAAGAGGAGGAGAGGCATGATAGGAGTGACAGAATAAACCTTTGCCTAGAGTGACGAAGACACATATAATTAGTTCTGTATATACATATTTGGTTAATAGCAGTGGTGTCACAAAGAGGGTGCTGGGGGTTCGGACCGCAAGAGGGTGCATTAGGGGGATGACTCCAGGGCCGGACTGGCCTACAGGGATATTTCCTGGTAGGCCACCTGCCCAGGGGGCCCCTGTGTGCTGCAATCAGCCTCAAGACAGTCTGCGCTCCCTCGGGCCGTGGCCAATCGCATGCTTTTGCGACCAGCCACAAAAGCATAAAGTATTTCTCCACGCCAGCCGCTGGATAAGAACAGCATATGATGTCATACCTGACGGCTGCACGGCGGCTGCGCTTTAGTTTGCAGAGTGGCTGGCTATCTCAGGGCCAGCCACTCACTCCTTCCCTCCTGCTCGCAGTACCTGCTTGAGCAAAGAAGAGATTGTGCAGGCCTGGATGGAACTGGTGGACAGCTCATCTTGAGCTGTAGTATATTAAATTGTCGGGAGGGCAATATTAAATTGTGGGGAAAGGGGCAGTGTATTGAATTGTGGGGAGGTTGTGAGGAGAGGGTGCAATGTGTTGAATAGGGAGGAGGGGGGAAGTGTATTAAATAGGGAGGAGGGAGGCAGTGTATTGAATAGAGAGGAGGAAGGGCAGTGTATTAAATTGGGGGATGGAGGGCAGTGTAGTAAATGGGGGGCAGTGTATTGAATAGGGAGGAGGAAGGGCAGTGTATTACATTGTGGGGAGGGGGCAGTGTATTGAATAAGGAGGATGGGGGAGAAAGAAGACTATGGGATGGGGGGAGAATGAACCTATGGGACAGGGGAGAGGGGAGAATGAACACTATGAGACAGGGGAGAGATAAAAAACACTATGGGACATGGGAGGGGGTTAGAAAAAACACTATGGGACAGGGGAGGGGGGAGAAAGAACACTATGGGATGGGGGAGAAAGAAAACTATAGGACAGGGGATGGGGGGAGAAATAACACTATAGGACGGGGGGAGAAATAACACTATGGGACAGGGGAGAGGGGGAGACAGATCACTATGGGATGGGGGAGAAAAAACACTATAGGACAGGGGAGGGGGGAGAAATCACTCTATAGGATAGGGGATGGGGGAGAAATAGCACTATGGGACAGGGGAGAGGGGGGAGAAAGAACACTGTGGGACACGGGAGGGGGGAGAAAAAACACTATGGGACAGGAGTGAGGGGGTGGAGAAAGAACACCATGGGGCAGGAAGGGTGAGAAAAGAACACCATGGGGCAGGGATGGGTGGAGCAAGAACACCATGGGACAGGAGGGGAAGAAAACACCATGGGATATAGGAGGGGATAAAGAACACTATGGATGGGGTGGAGAAAGAACACTATGGGACGGGGAGGTAGGAGAAAGAACACTATAGGACAGGGGAGGGGGGAGAAAGAACACTATAGGACAGAGGGGGTAGAAAGAACACTAAGGGATAGGGGAGAGGGGGAGAAAGAACACTATTGGACAGGGGAGAGTGGGGAGAAAGAACATTATGGGACGGGGAGAAAGAACACTATGGGACAGGGGAGGGGGGGGAGAAAGAACACTATGAGACAAGGGGAGAGAAAGAACACTATGAGACAGGGGGGGAGAAATAACACAATGGGGCAGGTGATGGGGGAGAAAGAACACTATGGGACAGGGGAGGGGGGAGAAAGAGCACTGTGGGAAAGGGGAAAGAGAGGAACAATAAGGGGGGCTCTAAGTTACAGAGGAGAGAAGGGAAAGGAACACAGGTGGGGGGACCACTAAAAGAGAAGGGAGATGAACACTAAGAGCTGGGGGAGAAACATTAATGGGAATGGTGGGCACTAAGAGACAGGTAAGGAGGGGGAAAGAGGAACACTAAGGGACAGGGGAGGGAGGGGAGATGAACACTAAGGGAAATGGAGGGGGTTAGGGTTACACCGTGAGTTACCGCACTAACCAGTGACACCAACCCTAGTAAAACCACTGATTAATAGAACTTTCATTATCTTTCTCAGAATTATTGCCTATTATGCTTGTGCACAGTAAAAAAAAAAAAAGTCTGTTTGGCCAAATAAGTTTGTTTGAAAAAAATTTTTGTTCAAGTGGATGGAAATTCGTTCTTGTGGTGTTTAAGTTTGGACCTAATTCAACTATGCAATTGGTTAAAAAAAATGATTTTAATGAAAAAAGGCAAGAAATAGATTATTCAATGTACTGCAAAATATATATGTGATATAAATATAATGTATATGCAGTACACTGATAGGTGCATTTTTCACACTATTGTTTTACACAGATTGAGTGACAATAACTAAGAGTGGGGGGAAAGAAGGGGTGGCACCGGCCCACGGAGGCACACAGCTCGGGCCACGGAGATTAGGGTGTGCCTAGGCACACCTCGTGTGCACGCCCATGGTGAATTGCATTTCATTTGCACAATTTAAAGATCTATGTACAATCATATTTTTTTTTTTTTTTTACACTATCATTCTTTGTACACTCTACATTACTTTCTGTTTGGTATGAATTAAGAAAACACAGCAAAAAAAAAAAAAAGTGTTTTTATTATGTTAACCCCATTCCGCTATTACGGTGTTCTATGCTGTCTTGCATTCAATGGGCTTTAAAGCTGTGCGTCAACATAGAATGCCATAATGGCTTTCAGCCCCAGGAGCCGCAGTGTACTTACCTTCCATGTTAAAGCTCTTAGAGAGTGATCACTTGTCCGCAATAGGCATCCATAGAGCATCCTGCTGCTGTAAAATAAAAATACAAAAATATTAGTGATGCCCCACTAAACGTAATATCAGGATTTTTATCAGATGTCCTGAGAAAAGTCCTGATAAAAAGAATGAAATATTGACTTATGTGATTGGACACAAGAAAGAATACTGAAACTCATTATGAAGTCCTCTGGAGTGCAGTTATTTTGGAGATGTATATTGGTGTATAGAGCAGTAAGGCTTAGGGGAGATGCCAAGAGGTGTGTTAGGGAGATGAGAAAAGAGATACAAGGAGATGAAGGGAGGTAGCAGAATAAAATAACAGGATTTGGGGAGTCAATGTGGAACTCTGTGAGTTAAAGGATTGCATTGGGGATTGATCTAGAATGTGACCTTGAGGTAGGGGGTTATTCATTTTGATATGGGCTTAAACCCCAGGATATTTTAGAACTCAGCAAATCAACAATGTCCCTGTCTTATACCTCACTATTCTAACTGCATCTGTAAAATGAAAAATAGACCTCACTACTACAAGCATTAAACACGCTATCAGCAACATTTCAAATACCAAGGTACCAGGAGTTCATATAAAGGTTTCTTACTGTTAGAACACAATGTTTTCCTTGATAAAATTTTTAAATTAAATAAAAAAACAATGATCTAATTTTGCATGTTTTCTTTCAACAGTTTGCACAAATTGCTAAGAATATGAAGAGTCGTTGGAAGCTGTGTGGATGACTCCCTGCAGGACAGAAGATATAAACAGATATTTACTGCTGCACTGAAAGATATACCATCTCTCTTAATTGTTTTGTTTCCTCACACGAACACTGCATAAAAATGAATTTCTCCACATATCAAGAAAACCAGTCCCTTGATACAACCATCCTCGCTAACAGTTCGCTTCCAGCTGCAATTGCTGATGAATGTAGCTTGCCTTTGGCAATTGTTTTTACTTTAGCACTTGCCTATGGAGCTGTTATAATTCTTGGACTTTCTGGAAATTTGGCTCTTATTATAATAATATTAAAGCAAAAAGAAATGCGCAATGTCACCAACATCCTCATAGTAAACCTTTCATTTTCTGACTTGTTAGCAACAATTATGTGCCTCCCTTTTACCCTTGTTTATACCCTCATGGATCACTGGATTTTTGGGGAAGCTATGTGTAAGCTAAATGAGTATGTGCAGTGTATTTCTGTGACAGTTTCCATTTTTTCATTGGTTCTGATTGCTGTCGAACGTCATCAACTGATCATAAACCCTCGTGGATGGAGACCTAGCAATAGGCATGCTTGCATTGGAATCACAGCAATATGGATTGTATCAATAACTGGATCATTGCCTTTCATAATTTATAGCAGTTTAACTGATGAACCATTCCAAAACATAAGTGTTGACTTCTATGTTGGAAAATATGTGTGCATTCAACAGTTCCCAAACGAACAATTCCGGCTGTTTTACAACACTCTGCTTTTTGTGATTCAGTACCTGGGACCTCTTTGTTTTATATTCGTATGCTACACGAAGGTAAAGTTTCTGTCTGTGTGTTATGTCACTGTACATATATAAAATAGAAAAAATCCTTGCACTTTTGCCTACTTTAAACAACTTCTTTACATGTCGGGTGCTAGACCATGCTACAGATATACATAATGGGAAGAAGGTGTGCACTCCTAGTCTTCCATAAGAAACTGATTTATTGCTTCCTACCTGAAAGGTTAACAAAACATATGCAGAAAGGAGTCAACAATTCTCTCCCTGATTGGGACTTTCTTCAGGACAGCATGTACATATATATATATATATATATTAGCAGTAGTTTTAAAACATCTCAGGATCTACCTTTTGAGCACCCCTGGTGTATATATGTAATTTAAATTAATATTTAAAAAAAAAAAAAAAAATATATATATATATATATATACACACATATATCAGAGATGCCCAAAAAGTACATCTCCAGATGTTTTTAAAACTACAGCTTCCATGATGCTTTGTCATTCTAAAAGCATTAATTTCAAATGTATGCAAAGCATCAAGGGAGTTGTAGTTCCACAACATCTGGGGATCTACCTTTTGGGCACCCATGATATATACACACATCTAATGATTATTGTCCTCTTTTTTTTGTTTCAGATATTTCTAAGATTAAGAAAGAGAAATAATATGATGGACAAGATGAGAGATAACAAGTACAGATCGAGTGAAACGAAAAGAATCAACATCATGCTTTTATCTATTGTAGTTGGATTCGCACTTTGTTGGCTGCCTTTCTTCATCTTTAACTTGGTGTTCGATTGGAACTATGCAGCCATCGAAATGTGTAGCCATAATCTATTATTTTTGATTTGCCACCTTACTGCAATGATCTCCACGTGTGTGAACCCGATATTCTATGGTTTCCTCAACAAAAACTTTCAGAGGGATTTACAATTTCTCTTTAATTTTTGTGATTTTAGATCTAGAGAAGATGATTATGAAACTATAGCTATGTCTACAATGCACACTGATGTTTCCAAAACATCTTTGAAGCAAGCAAGCCCAATAGCATAAAAAATGGATGATTGGCTGTCTAGTGACAGTAAATGTGTTGGAACTTTATATCCAAAAAAGCACAAATTCATTGCAAAAGACATTATTTCCATGCACCGCCCACGGGATTTGGAAACATGTGTACAAAATGAATGTGTGCTGACATCATTTTTGAACTCTGGACAGAATGTGTATATAACTATTTCACATTTCAACTGATATTTTTTATATAGTGAAATTTACCGACATGCTTTTTAAAATCAACGTTCTAAAAATATTGTGTGTTTTCTTGCACTAAATACTACAGTATAATGTTCACGTAGCAACTCTGAATGTTCCGGTTTTGTACTTTACACTTAAGTCTGTACACATAAGTATAGCCACTATATTACATATGAGATATTTATTAAAAAAGTTAACTTTTATAAACACATTTTAATAGAGAGTTGATTTACAGTAATACAAAATATATTTTATATCACAAAAATATTAGTATTGTATTGATAATGTGGTGAAAACTACTAACCTTTTATTCACTACCCTTCAAAATCTTTCGTAAAAGGCCCAGATGAACACAAAATATATATGTAAGGTACTGTGCCTTAAATTAATAATAATAATAATAATAATAATACATTTTTGTCTACTTCATTTAATGTGGCTTGAAAAGGCTTAGAATGTTCATCAAGTACTCAAAATAAGAGATAATAATACGAACATTCAGTGTTATATAAATAAAGTTATACACACACAAACATTTTGACTGATTGATCTATACAGATTTATATATAGAGAGTGATTATATATACAGTATCAAAACATTGTAATGTAATATCAAAGCTTACGTAATATATCAAATACTTGTTTGCATGGGTGAAAATGGAAATAGCTTTATTGCCATTTAATAAAACAACAATATAATACAGGCAGTAAGTTAAAACATTTTCTTAAAACGGAACATAACTCTTGTCTTTAAGCTTTTCCCACCTTAAAGAGTTCCTGAAAGGTTTACTATGTCAAAGCTGTTATATTTTTTCATACAGATCATTATATTAGTTTAGCTCATAATCATGATGTATACACATCTGTTTAATTAACTGATCGACTTCCTGCTTTCAGTAGGGTAAGTTATCTCTCTCTCTCTAATTTACCTATGCCCACCCAGAATCCAGTGCAGTTGTAACATCACTGCAAATTTGATATTTCAGTGGGAAAAGCAAGTCTTATGACTTGACTGGTGTACAGATCTGTGTTTTACAATATATTGACTATCCAATATATATATATATATATATTCACACACACTTTAAGTGTTAACCAACCCATTCTAGGTATACTATAGGGATACTGCAAGCTGCAGCAGAATTGTACTATGTTGCAGATATAACTGTATTTACTGAATATGGGGTTTACACCAACTCACAAATATTAGCTTCTATTTTCTGGTGTTATTTTTAGGATGCTGAATACATCCCAATGGGATCCTTCCAAGTACACATGAGCAGAGTATTTCACCATTTTTTATGTCTTGTCTCTTGTAGGTGATAAAATATCCACTTCTATATTAACATTTTAAGCTCTGTTTCAGAGTTTGAACTAAAATAAATACTGCACATTCACTAATAGCACCTAAACATTTATGTAAAGTATGAAATAATAAAGTATAAATTTAAGTAATGCAAATTATATCATTTTTTTAATCTTTGGATAGCAGCCTAGACACAAAATTACTGTTTCTGCCAAATATTTATCTATACATTTCTCCCATGTTTCAAATAAATTTACTGGTTTTAAAAAAACTTGGTAGCAATATGTTTAAGCAAGATGTTTTACATCATAAGGAACCAATGCAATAGAATATTGGAGCAACCAACATTCTAGTATTTATTGAAATACATACAGTTTTATGATATTAATTAGAATTAAATTAACATAAAAAATTTATTTTAATATTAGAAAAATTTAGTTGTAGGGGTAGGCCATTTTCATGTTAAGATAACATGATTTTAAATTTTTCAGTTGTTGTTTTATAAACATTATATCAAGGCTGTTACCCCTGTTAACCCTACTAAGGACGGAGGCAATGGTACATGTTCTAAGCCAACGCAAAACATAAAATGTGAGCTGCATGTCTGTTCAACCATAAATCACCTGTTTCTTATTAAGTGCACCCACACCTATTATATATAATTTTGTTCAGGAGAAGCAGGGCTTTCATTTGACATAAAATATTGCTATATGAAACATATAACATTAATCTGAAAATAAATCTAAAAAAAGTGTGATAAATTAAGAAATTTTATTTTACAAGTACTGCATGGCATTTTAACTGTGAATGTCATAATACTGTAAGCTTTTACTGCAATAAAATACACATACTTGTGTTCAATGATGTCTCACAAGTACAACAGTACCCCCAATGTGCAGGTTTTATGGGTTTTTAGAAAGTTAGAGTGTTAAATATAGAGCTTGCCCATTTTGCTTTATACACATTGAAATTTGAGACTGTATGACAACCCAGAAATTACAATTACCCCCTTTATGGTGTACCATTTGCAAAAATAGACAACCCAGGGTATCAAAATGGGGTATGTCCAGTCTTTTTTTTAGCAGCCACGTAGTCACAAACCATGTCCAAAGTTGGTACTCATATTTGTTTTTTTGCATCTTTCATACAAATAAGCAAGATATAGAAAGTTAAGTAGGATTTATTGAGCCCCCCATGCAATATTTAGTAGCAAGTAGAATTTTTTTATTGTGCAGGTGGCTAGAGTAATTGGGAACCCTAGACACCATGAGTGTGGGGCACATGCTTACATTTTGGGGTTGGGCAATGGTATTGCCGTTAATATCACCTATCAAAGCCCATTGGGAAGCACATAAGCATGTTCTGTCCTTTCTACAATTTAAACAGCCTCATCCTCATGGGTAAGGACGGGTGAACAGTTTATTGTCGCCATAATTAATTTTAGAGTTTAACTTGCAGGTCATGGATCGGAGTCCCCCATGGGTTGACAGTAATTTATTAAATTAATATGGAGGTCATATTGAAACCCATGAGTTCTATTTTATTTGTTTTGCATTTTAAACATGGATATAATTTCTAATTAGTGAAGTAATAGCTGCTTGATCCAAGGAGATATCTGACTGCCATTTTGAGGTCAAGAAGGAATTTTTTTCCTAGTTTGTTGCAAAATTGAAAGCGCTTCAGACTGGGTTTTTTGCCTTCTTTTGGATCAACAGCAAAAACATACGTGAGGAAGGCAGAACTTGATGGATGCAAGTCTCTTTTCCACTATGTAACTGTTTAACTATGTAATGTGGTTAACCACACTACCACATGATCACCCTCATGCCATAAAGGTTTTGTTTTTAACCAGCACTTGCAGCCAGTTGGAAATAGTAAAGAGGTAATTTATCAACAACCTTTAGGGGAATTCAATGAAGCCATTTATCGGTCAATATGCATCTATCCATTTAATCACTTTAGTTAATATTTTTAGTGAAATGTATATTCAAAACAGTAATTATCAACTTCCAATAAGCTTTTAACAGCCTCTATTTAATTGATGAAACTTGATAAATGGCTTATAAGGAGCTGATAAAATCCTGATAGAGATGACTGGCTATAATTAAACCATGGCAATAATTAGTATAAATGGATGTGGAAGAGTGTGAAAATTTCTTCATTTTATAAATGTTGACAATGTTTTAAAACTGCATAATTTATCTATCTTTTCCTGAAATGTGGTGCTTTTTAAAAATCCAGATATTGATAAATATAAGTGTTTCTTACCCCAACAGCGACAATGAAATCACTGAAGTAACTCTAACAGGATGAGCATTGCAATTTCTTAATCTCCATATACAAGCAGTGTAGATTTAATCATTGCTAGCTCACCTGCTCATTGCAGGTTTATCTGAATCAGTTGAAAGGAGGTGTTAAAAAAACTGTGACTGACAAATATAAATCCTAACAATATATCTATTTATCACCGTATTGTGTAATAAGATCTGTGCATTAATATCAATCTTATTTCCTACTTATTGGAAATCATGCAATAATACTAATATTTTTCTACACATTAAAACAAAATACATTTACCAAATTGAGCTATATGCCTTCTCAAAAATGTCATTGATTTTGGTTTGCCCACAGACCTATGTTATGTGAATATTGATAGACTGTTATAGGGTTATAAATGTTTTTTTCTGCAGTGGACTTATATTGAAATGATATAATTATATTACAATTTTAAAATAAATGAACTACAATTCTATTTTTATAATTCAAAATCTATTATAGGATTTGAATTTTTCAAAACATCCCAGGAGTAATAATGTTAGAGTCATCAAAGCATTGCTTCCTCTGAATCTGCAGAGGTACTATATATAGTGTTTACATTGTGTGCACACTTTACTGTCTCATGTGCACAATTTAGTAGATAGTTAACATGTATGTATGCTTTAAATATTTCATGTGCACACAATAATTAAAGAATTAATAGTGCTCCAATTCACATTGGGTATTAATTTGAGTGCACAACTCATTAATAAGTAGTGTATGAGATATAGTCAACTTGTACTCCTAATTTACTAACTATATCGTAGGCACAAAGTAGTCAACTTGTGCTAAAGGTCCTCCTACCTTTGATGTGCCCACAAAATGATCTCTCAAGATCTGGCATCACCCATTTAATCAGAGATAGGGCATGTCTACAAGCCTGAATCTCCAGATTCTCCTGTGGCCACATTTTATCCCAAGCTCTCCTAAGGCAGGAGGACCTCCAACCCAAGGTGACTATTGCGTGCCTACTATATATTTATATATAGCTATAATTAGCTATATCACACAAATGAGTAATTAAATATGTTGTGCATGCAAATTATTCAATTTTTGTGTTCACTAAATAGTTAAATCATGCACACAAGTTAACTATCTCATTTCACACTTAGTATCTTGTGTGGAAGATGTACTTTGCACCTCCTGGGCTCCATAACCTTCTTTTAATTTAGAAGAAATACAGTTGTACCAATTTTATAAAAAGAAAAACTTTGTATTTTAGAAACCAAAATTTATATATTATTTTAATGCTGTTTTTAAAATAATAGACTTTTGCCTCCTGAACTTGCACAAAACTGGAACTTTATCTGCTGAAGATACTGTTACCGATGGGGTTATGTGCATGATGATTTTCAGTTTTAAAGACATTGTATTAGTTTTGTCACTCTGAAATAGTAGTTCAGCCACTCAAACCAGTCAACCTTTGTAATACAAAATGTAAATACTACATTGTGCTGTATATGTACTGTTTCATGTACTACAAATAAGTAAGCATGCCATATGCAAGCTTTTTTTGTTTAAAAAAAAAGGTGTAATTTTGTTTGTAATATGCTACTGTTCTAAGGAATTGCAAATTTTTACCTCAGTGTTAACCTGTATCTAGTTTTACTTGCATTGCAGTAGACAAATTTATAAAAGTAGCAGTTGTAACATTTGTGCCTTTGTAATGCATAAACAAGCCACTCACTTTTCAAAAAAACAGTAGAATTGGAGAGTCACACCTTCTATGTAATGCTATAGAGTTTTTCATTTAAATACATCTAACTAGTGCTATGGTAATTAACGTTTACACTGCAATCGTCAGTCTCAAAATTAGGTTAAATATATATCTTGTTGTGTATAAGACTAGATTATAAATGACAAGGATGTCCTAATACTACTCAAGTAAAATTTGTGCTCCAAGAATATATAAATACATTATCAACAATCAAAGTGATTTATTAAAGAATATTAATTGTATGTAAACAGTATGTATACCTCCACTTTAAAAAATGGCCAACTCTAAACAAACACTCCGAGCACCATAACCACCACAGGAGTGCCCTGGTGCTCCTCCATTGTAAGTAGTCAAACCATTTTAGAATGGTTTGTCTTCTTATCTTTGGTCCACTGTGCAACACTTCCTGACCCTTATCCAGCTGGAAGCTGGTGGTTCAGGGCTTAGTTCATTGGCTGACAAGGATCGGGTGACACTCTCAGCCAATGAGCTAGGCCTGCACCAAAGGCCTTCCACCAACCTGGCTGCTAAGAGTTCAGAAACCCCAAGTAAGGAGTCAAGTTATTCTAAAATATTTTGGATATTTACAATGAGGGATGCAAGGTCACTTTTTTGGCATTATACAGTTATGAAGCTTTGCATGATCTTTTAAAGGACCACTATAGGCACCCTGACCACTTCAGCTCAATGGAGTTATCTGGGTGCCAGGGCACCCTAGTTTTAACCCTGCAGCTGAAAACATAGCAGTTTCAGAGAAACTGCTATGTTTACAGCTGCAGGGTTAATCTAGCCTCTAGTGGCTGTCTCCCAGGAGCTGTCGTTGATGGAGGAGGAGAGGTCACCAGTGCCGAGGTAGCCCCAGCTTGATTTAAGGTAAGCACCACTTGCTCTAGTCACTATTTAGGTGACTATTCCGAACGCTATAGTGTTCCTTTAAATGCTTCACTAAAAAAGTTAAATTTTTTCACCATTTAGGTGACCATTCCAAACGCTATAGTGTTCCTTTAATCCCTTAAGGACCAAACTTCTGGAATAAAAGGGAATTATGACATGTCACACGTCATGTGTCTTTAAGGGATTAAATGCTTCATATTGCACAGTTTTTAGGAAAGTTACAAATGTGAGTGTTATATTTTAATAATGATTTTAAGAATGAGTTTAACAAGTCTTTAAAATATATGTTCTATTTAAATATATATATTTTATTACAATACTATATCAAAATGATAACATATATATAACTTAATAAGCATAAATATATATTAAGCACTCAAATCTTTAATATATATAATTTAAACTATGGTTGAAAATTGATAGTATTGGTAAAACAATGGATACAAAAATGCATATCTATGTAAATCCTATGGAAAGAAAGAATTTTAAACTATTATACATTTATGTAAGCATATTGACATAGACATATTGGAATTTATTGCTGCTAGTGACCTTTCATGTAATATTTTACTAAAAGTATTGTATATGTGTCATATGGCTATTTCCATAATCTTTAAAATTTTTAACAATTATTAATTAATTTTAAAAACTGTACAATTCACTATATATGGTGTTAGATGTGAAAGGATTGATTTGCTAAATGTTCATCTAACATATTCCTTGTGTTCCCACATCTTATACTTCTGTAGGTGTTTCATCTTTTTCAATATTGTTTGACGATAGCCACCTAAATTGCAAATTATTTTAATCTATACTGTATTGGAGGTACACAGCAAATTGAATCACGTCTTCATTATAAACTTGTGACATAGCATTGCAGTTATGAACATTAAATGCATCAAGTCAATTATGTCTAATGTAAACATAAACAAATAAAAACTAGTTTCACTTGTAAATGCCTTTAAGCAATATGTAGTAACATCATTTTAAAAAATCCAATTAAAAGTATTATAATACAGTACTTTTCAAAAATATGGAATGTACTAAAGTCTGCATTTGCAAGAATATTTTTAGTTTATTTTCTAGATACAGTATTCATTCATTTTGTATATGTATAAATGTCTTTTTTGTGAAAATAATTCTTTGACTGTCTGATGCTATCCTTTTCTACATACGTAAATCGGTAAATCCCTTACAGAGGCAATCAATAGAATAAGACATGTTTCAGCACGGTAAGATTTCTTGAGCTATTTCCTATTGTTTGCTACACAAAAGACTACAGATGGACAGAGGAAAATCGGTTAGATAAGAATTGTGAACATGACCACATGAAAAAAATTAAAAAAATAAATGAAAAAATATCAGTAGATCAGAGAAGTAGCCATTATATATTATTGAACATTGTAGTGGCCAGAACAAAGATTAAGGGAGGCAAAGGAAACCAATATCCGAAGAGCATAGAGTACATTTATGACCAGTTTAGGCAGTCAAATGCCTAAAATGCCCTAGGTTCGCTGCGCAACACCAGAAGATTGAGAAAATGTCTAGTCTTGTCTCCTACCAGTCCGCTCAGGACAAAGCCAGCTTGCTCCCTTGACACCACATGTGACGCAGATGATTGGCCAATAGCTTAACATAAAGTTTCATTTATGCATTTAACAGGGAAATAGGTTGGACATATATAAAGATGTTGGATTTTTTTCCAGGTTTTGGGAGTGTGAAAATATGTGTTTTCAGCAAATCTAATTTAAAAATTATGGTGGGGAACCAACATGTCTGCAATTGTCACATAATTGGAGTTGGTAAAACCTAAAGGATTTCCTTGAGAAACTAGAAAAAGGAAAAACAAAAACACTACCAATAGTTGTCTCTAAATAAATATAGTATAGAGGTCGTAATTGTGGTTATCACAGATGAGGTTGTCACCAAACTAAATAAATAAGATAAAATAAAACTTCACTTTTAACCCCTTCAGGACCGAGGATGGTTCAGGATCGTCATCGGCATTTTTGCATTGCCGACCGGTGACGGTCCTGAACCGTACTTACGGTCCAATGTACTTACCCGATCGCTGTCGTTCCCCCTGCAGCGATCGGCGGTGCTCCCATTGTGGGGAGACTGCCTGCAACCCAGACAGTCTACCCGCGGCGGATTAGGACCCCTGGGGCCATGTGATCGCTCAACAGAGCGGTCACATGGTCAAAATAGGTGTCCATGTGTCTGCCTGCAGGGGGACTGCCTGTTCTGACAGGCAGGCTCCCTGCATGTGTAAAATCATTTAAAAAAAAATTAAAGTTAATGTTAAAAAAAATAATAATAATTATATATGTGTATATAAATATGATATATAGACATGTCTATATATTATATATATATATATATATATATATATATCTATATATATATGTCATACTAAGTGCATTTTTATATTAATATGTACACATGTTAAATTACACATGTATATATATAATATATATAATAAAAATGAAAATGTATACATATCTATGTATATATAAATAAATAAAAATAATACGAAATACATGTCCATGTAAAGAATTAAATAAATAGTTATATAAATATACACATAGACTTCATATATATAAATATGCATATATATTTAAATTCTACGTGCGTATTTATGTAATATTTTTACATAATTAAGTAATTTTATTGATTGCAATTTGAGGGACCGAAAGTCCAGAGAATTTAATTTGCTATCACTATATTTTACCCTGTAACTTTCTATGACACCCTAAAACCTGTACATGGGGGGTACTGTTTTACACAGGAGACTTCGCTGAACACAAATATTAGTGATTCAAAACAGTAAAACATATCACATTTTCCACACACAAACAGCACTTTTACTGATGATATAATTGTTGTGATAAGTTTTCCTGTTTTGAAACACTAATATTTGTGTTCAGCAAAGTCTCTCGAGTATAACAGTAACCCCCATGTACAGGTTTTATAGCGTTTTTAAAAGTTACAGGGTCAAATATATGGGTCAAATATTTTTACATTGAAAAAGGCCAGGTTGGTTACGTTGCCTTTGAGAGTGTATGGTAGCCCAGGAATGAGAATTACCCCCATGATGGCATACCATTTGCAAAAGAAGACAACCCAAAGTATTGCAAATGGGGTATGTATGGTCTTTTTTAGTAGCCACTTAGTCACAAACACCGGCCAAAATTAGCGTTCAATTTAGTTTTTTACTTTTTTCACACACAAACAAATATGAATGCTAACGTTGGCCAGTGTTTTCGACTAAGTGGCTACTAAAAAAGACTGGACATACCGCATATTGAATACCCTGGGTTGTCTACTTTAAAAAAAAATGTACATTTGGGGTGTTATTCAGAGATTTATGACAGATAATAGTGTTACAATGTCACTATTGATAAATTTTAAAAATGTATGTTTTGAAACCGCAATATCCTACTTGTACCTATAGCCCTATAACTTGCAAAAAAAAGCAAAAAAGCATGTAACACTGGGTATTTTTAAACTCAGGACAGAATTTTGAATCTATTTAGCAGTTTTTTTCATTCGCTTTTGTAGATTAGTAAAAGATTTTTCAAGTAAAAGTCAAAAAACATGTATTTTTTTAAATTTTCCATCATTCCATTCCATTTTTTTTTTTAATTAAATTACATGAGATTATATAAATAATGGTATGTAAAGAAAGCCCCCTTTGTCCTTAAAAAACAATATATAATTTGTATGGGAACAGTAAATGAGAGAGCGGAAAATTACAGCTAAACACAAACACCACAAAAGTGTTAAAAGAGGCCTGGTCGCAAATGTACAACATCGCAAAAACAGTCCAGTCTTTAAGGGGTTAATGAATAATTTTCAAAGCCATTTAAATAAAAATAAAGTAACACAAAAGTAAAGACCAAGGTATTTGGTCATGAATGAAAATTATAGTCTTGCTATAACAACATTAGGCATTCTTAATCAGTATGACTACCTGAAAGAGACAATGTATTGAAAAATAAGACTTTGTGATGAAAAGTATCTATTTGTACAATATATACAATACAGGTAGGGGGAGAGGCGATAACCATTTCCAATGACTAGACTCTGCTGCAGAAAGAGTCTGGTCAGATAGTTAGGCTGCCTCAATTAGGCAGAATATGAATATAATAATCGCTTAACTCCACCAAGATGGAAGTAAAAGAATGCCAAAAAAAAGGGTATGATATGAAAAAAGGTACTATAGAAGGGGAGATCCCTGATAGGAGTAAATCACAGAGATCAATAGGTGATAGTCGGTAACAGAAAGGAAAATATCACGTCCCTGTACCTAGACTGGACTTATCAGTGCAAAACTAGCGTGCCTTCGAGGGCACCCCTTAAGTAAAATCTGCACTATCACTAAACCCACCACTAAGTAGCAAGACAAAAAGTAAATGAATAAATAAAACAAAACGGGCATAAAGCCCAATCTCAGGATGGCCGTTCAGAAAAGATAACTATAAAATAAACGGCAGTGTAAAATAGAACACTGAGATATTGCCGACTACGGCGTCCTGAGCCCCTGACGCGCGCATTTCGTTCAGGTACTCATCAGAGGGGCCTAAAGGATTTCCTCCTTGGTAAAAAGGGTGCCCAGCATAGATGCTTTGGTAAGTGTAATTGATGATAGAAAAACAAAGATCAAAAGGGTTTCCGTATCTGTCTTGGTTGGTGCGTGGATAAGCTTTTTAAAAATGCAATACTTTTTTGATCAACTGTAAAAAGTAAATTTTCTAAATATTAGAATATAAATTATATATAACACATAAAAATATATCAAGAAATATCACAATATTAACATGTTTTAATATTTTTTAAAATTTTGAAAGTTTATCTTAAAATATGAAATCATTTGAAAAGCTAATCTAAAAATATCAAATTGAAGCCAAAGTTAGTTCAACAACAATATGATCAGAATTGGCAAATATTTCTCCCCCAGCTGAGCGCAACGGAAACATTTTGGATTGGGAGTATTTCTATTTTAGTTTAGCCAATAGAACATTACCTGCACTGCTACTTGGTAGTATAACTGTTTGAATGTGCATACATGTATTTTGATAGTAATTATGTTGTCTATTGAGTAGTCCTTTAATATTTATTCTGTCTCCATATGGGTGGAGCAGGATGTTAGTTTATTGACGAATTCCAAAGTTGACAAGCATTCTAGAAGTTCTTTTTGATTTAGACCTATATATTTTTTTCTTTAGGGCACATACCTACCTTTATAAGTAACGTGTGTGCTATAACAATGTGTGCCTTCCAGACTGTAGGTAGGGCAACCTTTACACCAGAATTATTGAGTTTAAAATATTGCTCTCAATAAAGCTTTCTGCACTGCAGCGAGTGTGGATGGGTTCTTTAGTAATAAGTTGTAATAGAACCACAATCATCCATGGAGTTATTGTGTTTCACAACTTCATCTATTTGTTGTATATTCCTAGTCACCACTATGTTTAATATATTTTGCACACATTTTCATATAACGATATAATGAAGACAGAATAGTGTAATTTTTACTGTGAATGTTTCCCTAACTTTCTCTTTTTTGTATAGTTATAATATATTGTGGTATGAGGTTGTCTCTCTGATTCCCCATATGATTATGTTTCATGTATTATATCAAGTGTGTCACCATAAGGTCAAATGTCCTGTTGATATAGGCTAGTACCATAGTAAAAGAACATAAAAGTCTCTGAGTGGAAATAAAGTACTGAGATGTTGTTCCTTTAGGAGTGCTCGATCTGATTCTTTCAGGGATTACAGTAGCAGAGTTTTAGTTCTTGCTTCCTGACTGCAGTGTTCCCTGATCCTGAGGGCCTTAAGAAAATGAGCTAAGCCTGTAAACACAGTAGTC